AATCTATTGAAAATAGATGTGATAAGCAGGCAGATAACACAGTTTCAGTTGTATACATGTAAAAAGGGAACCTCAGATGACAAGCTTGCATGACAAAAATAGATTTTTTTTTAATCTCATATAATATCAGACTCTTAGTTTTTTAAGTTTCCTATAAAAGAGAGAGAGAAGGAAAGTCATGCATGCAGAGTGTCATGTCTATGCATTTGGGAGTTAGGCTGATTTTGGGAGGTAGCAGTGAGCGCTCTTTATAATGACCCACATGCTGCAAATGCTTTACTATTCTGAAATAATATGAATCTTTTACTCGGCTTCAATAAAATATTTAAGTGCAAAAAATGCTTTTAACTTCAAACGCTGGTCAAAAAGATACTTAGAATCCACCCTGTAGGATGTTCTCCTACAGAGTGGCATGGTTAAATGTCAAAGAAGGGATTCGAAGCCTTTTCAGAAAGTAAGGCAATGGTAGTTCTAAATGCAGAAAGCTGGTTTCCCTTAACCCCCCCCAACCCCCCTGCCTTCATCTTTTTCTTTTATAAAGAAAGCAGTTGTGAAATTAAAAGAACTCAGAGAGAGGAAAGATGGAAGGAGAAAAGAGAAGCAGCTGAGAGTTGGACAGGGTAAGAATAGGACAAAGAAAGGAAGGTAACCATACACCTAAACCAGAATTAAAAAAGAGACTCTGACAGTCCCTTGCAACCAGCTAACAAATAATGGTATAGTAAAGTACGGAGAAGAAGTTCTGTTGATGCTCCTCTTTAAAAAGAAGCAACATATAGTATCTGCTTATATCATGTTACAGGTAGTCCTCATTTAGTGATGCTAATTGGGACCAGAAACTCCATCATTAAGTGATGCAGTCATAAGTAAAAAGACCATGTGACAGCTCTGCTTAGCAATTGCAATTCCAGCAGTCCCTGTTGTTGTTTTAAGTGAGGACCACGTGGGTCACTAAGTGACAGCTTCACATGACTGCAACTTCTGACTTCCTGCCAGCTTCCCCATCGACTTTGCTTGTGGGAAATCTGCAGAGAAGGCCACAAATTGCAATCTCGTGACCGTGGGGATTCTGTGACGGCTGTAAGTACAAGGTCCGGTCATGACTACCACTCATTCAGCACCATCGTAAGTTCAAATGGTTGCTGAATGAGTGGACCACCTGTATTGTTAAGCAAAGTTTTAATTGTCATGATCAACTTATCCTCTATGTAAGTGGAGACAGAAAACCACAACCCCTACACCACACACAGAAAGGTGCCATGCTACCAGGTAAAGAACAGTAAGAGAAGAGACAAGGTCGATCAATGGTCAAGCCTCAAGATAAGAACTCTCTGTTTATCATTTGGGGAAAGCATCAGTGAGAGCTTAGAAGATATTCATCTCTCCCCCAGATAGACCATAAGTAATGAATTATTCCTCTCCTGAGGTTGGCACAGGAGCCATCATTTGTCCACTCATAACATGTTACTCTTTGCCTGCCCTTCCACTGCAGCTGTTAGTCTCAATTCTTCGATGAAGCAGCACCTCTTGACTGATCTCAAAGCAAAAACCCTTTATAGAGTCTACATCTCTGGCATCACTAGGAAGGGAGAAGGAGCTCAAAGCCAGCCACAAGTTTTTGCTACGCTGAAATACGGTATTTTGATATTTTTTGTATTATCCATTTACTCATTATCTCTTTCCATGTGTATTCTACCCATCTACATTAGTATTATCTGGCCATGTATCTAATCAGATTAAGAAAATTCACAAGTCCAGGTTATATTCCGCATTGAGCAGAGACGTGCAACCTTTCAGTACCAACAAAGGCCACAGCTCGTGCTCCCAACCAGTTACTGGGCCGCAAGAGGGACTACCCATTTGGGGCCTTTTTCAGATTAGTTTTGGGGTTTGAGAGAATTTATTTGTTGACTGCACAGTTTCAAAATACTCTGGGCAGATTACAAGAAGTTAAAATTATAGATGGAACAATAACATAAATCAATTTTTTTAAAAGAAACAACAGTAACAATATATCAATAGTAATAAATTACCCCTCTTCCAACTCAGATGCCATTAAATCTTGGGTAGGGTTGAAGTAAAATTGTCTTTAAAGATCTTCTAAAACTCTGAGGGAGGAAGCTTTACAGACCTCAGGTGGTGGTGGTAAAGAGCTCCAAAATATGGGGACTACCACAGAGAAGGTCTATTATCTTCTCCATGTCCCCCTCGATTCAAAGAGAGAAGGGGGCCTTAACAGGCCTTTCCCAAGATGGGCAGATTCAATTCAGCAAGGCAGCATTGCATTTAAGAATGGGAATGGCAGCGTTTCATTCCAGTTCCTTTTTCAACCTTATTTTACTGTTTTTGCACCACAAATTGTCCCAGCAAAATTTCATAACATAGCCCTTGAATTTCAGAAGTTCTGCTAATGGAGTTCTCTTAACACAAATCAGGACATCTGATTTTAGTTGCTCTCTTAAACCACCTGTCACCTGCAACCAAGTAAGACATGCGGAGAGGGTTGTGCTAAGTGTGGGGAAGCAGCACTACCTTGAGTTGAACAAACGAAAGTATTTTGTTTGCCGTACAGATGCATAGTAGAGCTGCACAGCCCTTTGGATTCAAAGGGAAAAGGTGTTTTTTGGGGGGAGGGAAATGCTCACTTAGAGCCTGCCAGCAACTCCTTAAAACAGCTGCATCTTTTCATGGGACTGTGGAGCCTCCCTCTCTAGCCGCAGGCTAATCCTGGGAAAAGATGTACTTGATTTAAGGAGTTGCTGACAGATGCTATGCAGGCACCTGCATGTTCCCAAGTGTCTTTTCCTCTCCATATCTGAAGTGCTACACAGCCTGATTGCTTAGTAGGAAATGCTTTTTATTAAGGCAAAGCCCTCCATGGAATTAAGGCAGTAATTACAATACAGTAATTTTAAAAAATAGAAATGTCTAGGGAAAAAAAAAAAGAATTTTGCTTAGTGCCATAAGGGTATTGTCCAAGTAGCCTTTCTGATAAAAATATTTCATTGGTGAGCAAGGTTAACTGTTTGGTTTTTTTTAAATCAAGGGCAGCATACACTTAGAGGGAACTCTATTTGTGGAGGGTCATGATGGAAAGAACTAAAGCGGGAAAGGGATGGGTCTTCAGCCAAATGTGATGGAGACAGTTATTTAATGGCACTTTTTTCTCTTTTCTAGACCTTTTTGTCTGTTAGCAGAACTGGAAGAAAGGGACAGAAATCATTTCCCAGAGATCTGAAATGATCTTTTGGAAAATACAGTGAAATTGAACCAAGGGCCATACGCCACACGTTTCCCACCTCTCCTGATGGAACTGCCATCCTTGATGATGTTGTCTTCTTAGTTGGCCGTGGCATTCGACCTAGATGGCAAGGACATCTGGATGAAGCCCTGGGATTCTGTTGTCAGAGAACAGCTGGTTCATCCTGGAGAAAGCAATATTCCAATTTTGCCACCCAAACCCAAAGCTTGAAAAGTACAACCAATTTTTAGCAACAAAATCTCTAAACAGGGTTCCTCAACCTTGGCAACTTTAAGATGTGTGGACTTCAACTCCCAGAATTCCCCAG